CTGTCCAGAGTACAGGCTGCTGGAGCTCTCAACTCCCAGGCTACACGGGAGATGCTTCTCAGGCATGCAGTGCTAGCTTGCACTGAATACATCACACACCAAGTCTCACAGGAGCCATGCTGTTAGCAAGGGATTGTCTTTGCTTTTTCATCACACATATAATGTGTGTAAGGGAGCCATGCTGTTAGCAAGGGATTGTCTTTGCTTTTTTTTCTGTGTTTTTTTTCAATAATGGGCAGAATTTCAGTGGGACCTAAGAATAGCACTACCTGCACCCTGAAATTAAATGGTGACATTTAGATGTACAACCATACTTTGCACAGCAGACTGATAGCAAGTGAAGGCAGCCTAAAACAACAGTGAGTCAGTGCAGGGAGGAGGGCAGTTTGGCAAATGACTCATTACATCAGAAATTAAAGTCTGTTAACATATTACACAAAAGTAGCTCATTTACTGTGTATCAGAAAAATGAAGGCTCAGCAGGCTGGACACTGACAAGTATTCTGTGTGGAGTTTTTTTAAGTGATTAATTCCAACATTATTTTTTGAAGCTAATTTAGTACATTAGACATCAAGCACTGCTTCTCCTTTAAGCGTTTAAAACAGGATTGGGACGAGAGTGGAGATTATCAAGGACACGCTTCCTATTCACAACAACAGCATTTGTTATTTATACAACACTTGCATCTGCACTCCCCAGTTGAAGTTTGAAAATCACACATTTCCAAGGCAGTCCCTTCCCTTTTCCCACCGTGTTTTCCCCCTTCAGTGTACCAGTACAAACCGATCCAGGTTAAAAATAACCCAAGATTCCTGATACTGTACAAAAGTATGCAATTGCATAACCCCTCTCAAAATGTGTATCGCCTAATCAGGATTTTGGATGTCGTCAACTCAGGAGGGAGACAGTAATAGCGTTTCCTCATGAATCAGGGATAGACAGAAGGACACACCTATGAGACCACTGCGTTGTCACTGTGTTTTGTTTTAAATACTGTGTAATTATGTTGCAATTTTTACTCCCAGATTTCAGTAAAGAAGATTGCTGATGTTGGGAGACCTCTGCGCAAAACACCCCTGGGGAAAGAAGGCTGAAGCACTGCAAGAGAAATCAACCACAGTTATGTCTAGTTACCCTAAATTCCACCTACATCTCCCTGACCGGAGATTCCTGTTAGCTAGTTCAAAATGTTTATCTGCAGAGAAGATCTACACTATCTGAACACAGCTCTTAGTTGTTCAAGGTTTCGTTGTCCTCTCACGCCCAGTTCAGGAGATGAACTGAAACGCACTGGGTGGTTCAGAAGTAAAGTCGCAGATGCAGGAGTGGGAGGGCAATGTCACCAGAGGTTTGTATCTGTGTCTGCGCTGGCACTATTTACCATATTAGCTTGAAGCATCTACATCCTCAGCCAAAATACCTCAGGTGAAATAGCCGCATGGAAGTCAAAACACCCATCTACTTCAGTACACCCAAGGTTTCGCGTTATCTTGTACCACGTCACATAATTTAGACTGAAAAAATACCCAGGAAAAAGACCAGCTTCCCCACACTTTCTACGCAAGTACGTGTATAGTCCTTGTGAGCTTAAAAATGGTATTTTTGACTCCGTACTTTTTTTCCTTGGATTCAGCTTGACAGCATGTAACACATCATACCACATAAGATGGAGCATTAGTACATGTTTAGTTGAGCTGTAGCACTTGAGCTGCAGCATATTTATTTATAAAACAACCAAACAAAAAATAATTACGAAATCATTGATTCAAAGGAATCAATAATAAATATTTGCTTTCCTCTGAGTTGTTCAGACACAGTACAAATACACCAATTGTAGCAGGTAGAAGAGATGTAAGCTTAGTTTAGCTGCTGAGAAACAAAAGCAAGCTACGTAACATTGTATGCATTTAATCACACTAGTAATAACTGGTATATGACAGTAAATGCTTTAAGTACACTATTTTACAAAATAGAGTTTGGCTTATGGTTCATTTGCTTCCCTTGTGCAACTCCTGATAGTATCATCCGGAGCTCAGAAAATGTCCCTTTGAAAATAGAATACCTTTGAAATGATCTCCTTCTCATTTTTCCTTTGAGAAATGAACATTTCCCTTCGGGCTTCACGCTAGCAACTGAAGTGCAGAATTGACTTTGTATTCACCTGTGAGATCACTGAGGTGTGGTCTGAAAAGCACCGCGGCATTTCAGACTTAGTGATTTTTAAATCACCGTGGTGCCCACACTTTCTAACCAGGGCCACACATCTTTGCATCTTTGTTCCACGGCAGGAGATAGCCACGGTGCTTTTTCTGACACAGTTTGTACACAGGGCAGTCTGCACATGCCCGGACAGCGGGCACGGGTGCCACCTGCTTCCCGGCAGTGCTAGGAACAGCTGGGAATGATCACGCACACCAGGCTTCAGCAATTGCTTCCAACTAACTTCTTTTCCCCAAGGTCCATAAACCTTTCATCCTATGCAATCAGACAGATAGCTCATACGACAAGGAGCGACTTCTCTGCTCCAGGAGAGTTGGAGACCAGGAGAGGGCTGCCACAGCTGATCTGTTCTGCAGCCTATTCCCAAAGGCCTCCAGGAAAGACGCTGCCAGGAGCAGGCTGGGCAAATTCTCCTAGCCGGCAGCAAGTGGCCTCTGGGCTGTAGACAGAGCATCCTCCTCTTTGCTATTTGCAAGTCTGGCCTGTGACTCGAAGCTAACCTACAGCATTTGGTACTTGGACTGTAGCCAGCTCAACTGTGTGGATTGTTACCCTTATTTTGTGGTAATAAGCTTCTGGTTGCTCGGGCATGCATTGTTTACTGAGAAAAGCATTCCTGGTTTTATATGCATAGAGTAAGTATTCTCAGATGCAACACAGGTAACATTAAGCACAATAAGCAACCATAGAAGAAGCCACAAACTACTTTAGCAGTCCTGCTCATGCTCTTTGGGACTTTCCCAGCTCTGGAGTACCTTGTAAGCACTTTGGAGTGCCTAAGCCTTCAGGGTCCAGGAAAAAAGCAGCTGCAGAGGAATCCCAGACAGTTAGAGCTGCTGCTGCCAAGCACTGACAGTCACTACCAAATCCACCAAAACACAGCTGATCCAGGAATGTGCCTCTGGAGTACCCAGGGAAACTGTCTAGGTAAAATGACACAGTATCCAACACCAGGAGCTGTCACAGAAGTAGCAGCTTATCAAACACCTAATACTAGATGTCTCCTTTGTTTAAATCTGTGACTCAAGACTGCCTGCCCTGCACAACAGATCAGTCCTTTGTCCTGCCAAGGATGGCTAGGTTGACTCTGGGGTAGAGAGAGCAAGTGAAATTTTGGTATATGTGATGAAAATGGGTGACTGGTCCTAGGAAGAGAAGTTCTCAGATAGTATAGGGCAAGTTTGAAAACTATTTCCCATAAGGAAGTAGCCCAGGCAGGGCTTGGCTTTGATCAGACTGTCTAAGATCTCAAGCAAAGAAGCTAGAATTCTGGGTCTCAGTCAGAAAAGGAGATTAATTACAGTCCCTGGAGTGACAGAATTATAGATTTGTGGTTCTTCTGTGCTGATCCATCTCCGGTAGACTCATTCCACAAATTGGAGAAAACATTCCCTCCCTCAAATGAAAAAAAAAACCCACCTTTTTTTTAAAATTAAAAATCATCAGTCCAGGAATACAGGACTTAGTATCATCAGTCCAGGAATACACAAGCTTAGTATCTTGTGTGTAGCAGTGGTCAGAGCCAAGTCCTTCAGAAGAAAATACAAACAACAGAATTATGTGAGCATCTGCCTCCAGAGGAAGCCTGTGCCTACCTCCCATTGTTTCCTATTGGCCTTCAACTTGAAGTGTAAGACTTTATATTCCTTGGAAGTGTTTATTCCGGCTAATTTAATCACAGAAAATATTTTTATGATTCTTGCAATTTTTGAAGAGTCATGCTAAGGTTTAAGCCTCAACAATAGCACGTGGCCCAGCATTTGGTGTATAAATGGGACATTGCACACAAATATTTTCTAATGGAAGCAGCATTGTGCTTGTTTACCTGTCCCTGGTGTATTTTCCTATTGCTCTGTCACTCTATCCTTCAGTCTTACCTGGATGCCTGAAGGTCAGCTCAAGAATGCCGTTCGTTCAGTCTTGGGAAGAGCTCTCCATAAGGCTTCTACAGCACGGCTCACCCCAAAACTGGTGAATTCACAACCTGGCGATAGCAAAGATATCTTCCAAATGCTTCATCATGGCTTTTTGGTAGATTAGTGGCCCTCACTTTTTGAGGTGCTACCTTCATTCTGGATTCAGTGCCCAATTCTCATCACACATCTCATCATCACATCTGTGGCTCATTTGCCACAGATACCGTTCCAGTGGAGTTACTGCAGCTTTGCAGTGCTGACCATAAAAGCAGAGTGAGGCTCCTGACCGTATCTCTCTGGGTGCATCATTAAGTTTATTCTGGCAATTAAAGCGCCTCTGTTTCCTTGACATAAAGGGTCCTTTCTCTTTAGTACAGAGGTTAGTTCAGACACGTGCCTTAATACTGCATCTCTTGACCTTTTTGAGTGATCCTTTCATTTCTTTCCACTGTAGTTACAGCCTCCAAAAGTATTTCACTAGAAGACTGAATGCAGAAAACGTGAAGCATATATGTCAGTTCCCTTTGAGGTTGAACACCAGACTACCCTAAGCAGAGAGTCTGCCTCGAAATCTTCAGATAAGACAATGCATCTTTGAGAAGGTCCTCCAAAACCAGTACAACAGACTTTTCCCTCCCCACAAAACCTCTCTGGAATATTATGCATCTTTATGTCTCTCTTGATCCCTTTTAAAAAAATCCTGTGGTTTGGCTTCATTTCATTTGTACAGCGCTTAGCTGTTGTAGTTTTAAAATGCTCAGTGTTCCATTTCCAAAAAAGATAATTTAAAAAGAAGGCTCCCTTTTCCGTCAAATGTATCTTTCTTCAAAAAAAAAAATTCTGTATCAGAACCTCAGCTCAAATGTATCTTTCTTCAAAAAAAAAAAAAATTCTGTATCAGAACCTCAGTGCTGGAAGTTGTAAGAAAGAGTTGAGTGGGAGGGCTTCTTGTGGTGTGAATAATCACAAGTGATTAAAATTAAGCTGACCAGGAAGATAACTAGCTAATCTAACAATTCCTATGTGGCTGGTGTTACGTGAAGTGTTTCTGGACAGCAGGAGTCTCCAGACGGCTGGTGAGCAGTCACACGGTCTGGAACGCTCGGCTTTGGGCAGGCACCATGACCAGCGTTGCACCCATTTTCATCAGGTTAGTGTAGTCAACTTTCTTTGGCTCAATTTCTTTTCCTTCCGTCTCCCTCTGGCTGTACTGGGGAGGAGTTAGATGGGGAGTAGCTTCCGTTGACAAAGTCCGTTGACTGCGAGAGGCACTGTTGGCTGTCGACCTGGTTGAGGAGGAACCTGAACGTGAGCTCCTGGAACCAGAGGAAGAGGAACTGGGCTTGACGAGATGGGCCTTGGGTGCCTCTGCATCTTCTCTGCAATCAAACATATGACAGGGCTCAAATACCATGAGAACAGAAACGCTTATACATTTTACCAGACTGAATTGCTGCTGCAATAAGCAGTTGCTTATTGAAGCTGCAAATCACCAGGGCATGTTTGTCCAGCAGTTTGAGCAAGGTACAGGGTTTTCTGAATTCTGTGCTACATAACTTTGTGGACTGAACTCCCTGTTGCTCTGCGGAGCTATTGATCAAATGGATTTAGAATACATGCTGCACACGACTGGCTCTTTGTGTGCGGCTTTGAGGTCTGTGGAATGAATGCCAATTGTCAGTGCAAACAGTTCAGATAGAACTGTCTGCTCTGTAATTCTTACTCATAATGACAGATCACCTACACAGGACTAGCTGAGACCAGTTCTTCTAGTTAAAAAAAAAATGTGGGTATAGTGAAAGAAGTGCAAGAACTGGGCCCAGAGAGAAAGAGAGAGAAAGAGAGAAGAGGTAACAGTCATGCGTGAAAAGGTGATACAAGAGGCTGAAGCTCAAACTAAAAATAAAAAGGCAAGCAAGATTTGAAAGCAAAGACAACAGGAAAAAGGGAAGGGAAGAAATCAGCAGAGACTACCTTCTTGCTGGCAACCTGACCATCAGGCAGAGTAATCAGCTGCTGAATGGATTATAGAGATGCCTAATGGTACATAGATGTCATACGAGGGCAGGCAGTCTTTCACAAATAGAAATAAGGATGGAACAAGGCAAGGGGTTTCTTCAAGGGCAGGAGCAGCTAAAACTCATTCCTGGAAATATCTTTTTCCAGCGCTTTCCTTCCTGAGAAGTTTAGGCTTGATTGGCTAGAGACCAATCTCTGCTTAGGGGACTTAAGTGGCAGACCTCACATGCATGTAACAGATGCGTTCAAAGAACATGCGTCAGCATTCTTGGTACACCCGCTCAGGGCGAGGCTTCTCAACTCTGCATACAGCAGCTCAGGGGATTTTTCACCCTGAGCTAAATCCAGAAGCACAGTTGCTCAAAAGACTCAAGACTGTGAGAACCTGCCTGCCTCATAGCTTTGCCAACAGAAATTGCAATTGAAAAGAAAAACAAACAAACAAACCAAACCTCTCAGAACCACAATGGACAAGTGGGTTGAATTTAGTACTGGAGAGGATTATGCAAATGCTTTAAAATGCTGAAATTGCAAGCGTGAGAGAGAATATTTTGTTGAGTTTTACGCTGATTTGTCCTGGGGGAAAAAAAAGACATTTTAATCTATGTAATTTTCTGGAAAGTCTTCACAAAGATGATTCTCACAGTCAAGAAATTTGTCACTGGTATTTCAGAGAGACTTTAAAAGCTTTTTAGAACAACCTTTTAAGACACTAATACCTAGGTTACTTAAAACCGTAGTGAAAAGATGTGTAAAACTGAAAGAAGGGAGGGTGGGAGGTGGGGGATTAAATAAAAGGCGTTACCTGATTTCATTTGGTGCCTCCTCTTCCTCATATCTCTTCTTTTCTTTCCTCCTTATTGTCAGCCTCACCACCAGGAAAAGCAGGGAAAGTCCCACCACCACACCACAAACTGCTCCAGTGATCATGCCGATATTTTGTGCATCTGTTGTCCAGAAAACAAATGAGTTAGTTGGTAAACTCTCACTAGGGTCATACAGTCAGATTCCAGTCCACACTACAACTTATAGCACCAGGTATAAATCAGAACAGAATGTATTAGTCTACTTATTTAGGCGTGTCTCAACACAGAAGTTGAACCAGTTTATCTTCAGGCATTGGTTCTAAACCTGAGCTAACAGTGAGAAAAGTATTCACCTCTGGAAGGGTGGGATCACAAGTGCTATGCCTGCAGCTATGCGTCAGAATTGAAATGAGGAGGAAAAATCCTCTCATAGGAGCACAAAACCACAGAAAGTACAGAGACAGACAGGACAACCCACACGCGAAACAAAGCACCAAGCAGTTTCCTAGAGGCAGAAGAGTGTTTGAACAACGAATGTTTCCCCATGAGGATTTTTTTCCCCCTTCAACTCACCCTGAAATGATTACAATCCACTTGCAGAATGAATTATTCAATTGGGGAAAAAAGTGACCTGAGGGGGGTAGGGACGAAGAAGGAAAGGAAGACCATACTGTGCAGGTGCAAGGCATTTTTCATCCAAAATAACTAAGTGAATGAGAGAACACTTCCTAGTGTATATGGGCCCTTAGTTGATACTTTATGACAACTTCTTTTGATAAGAGCAGTTAGGTTGGGTTTGGCTGAAAGTTGTTTCCTTAAGGCTCATCCCTAAGGAGGGTTTAGCAAACCAAAGTGAGGTTTTAAACCAATTCAGTTCAATTGGCATAAAAGCTGTCTGGACGCTTTTACTTCAGATGCCTGAGGCGAATAAGTTTTCCTTGCTACATGACCACATTCCAGTTATTTCAGGCCTAGCTGGGCATAAAAATTCCAAAGCTATAGCATCTCCACGGAATAGACTTCACTATTAGCAGCCTTTTATCACAGCAGTTCCAGCTCCTGCCTATCTCTCCTGAGAGCTGCACATAAAAACCTCCTAAACTGTATTGTTTGGATTTGTCCTCAGTGCTGGTGCTAAATGCCACTCTTCCTTGCATGTATATGCAAAGACATGGATACGTAGACATGCACACACCCTTGATGGGGTTAGTCAGGTAGGACATCAATTTTAATCTCTGGTGTTCAGGACAGAATTCATCAAATCTGGATTAAAACCAAACTGTGTCAAAAGTTGCTTTTTATTCCACACATTACTCCACATCAAAGTCAGCCTTTCCAGCTGCCTTTAGATAGTTTACTGTCTCAAGTGCAACAGATAAGCAATTTGGAATTGGAATGATGGACTATCCACACGGAGATTTTATACTTGACAGTAATCTCATGCAATTGCTCCAGCCAGAAGTACCTCTAAAAGCTGGAGACTCTGGAACCTCTAACTCACCGTTTTTTCCCTCGTATTTCATTAGTCATTCTCAAAATCAAAATTTCTAACAGAACAAAACATCTGAGCTCAAATGATGTATTTACCACTTTAGGTTATACAGAGGACTGCTGTGCAAACCGTAAGTGCAATAAATAAGAACTAATTCATGTGATTCATGTATGAAAAGGCAAAAGCGTGGCACAGACTTTCCCAGTTGAGATGGGACAGCGCTGCTCATATGGTGGTGCGAATACTAGTTATGTGCCAATACTTACGCTGCACTGTCACCTGAACAACACAGCTTTCTTGTCCAGCCTCGTTGGTGGCAATGCATTGGTATAACCCTGTGCTCATCTGTGTAAGATTCTTCAGGAGAACTTGCCCAGGATTAGAAATGTCTGAAACAGGAAAAGCAACACCGGGATTAATCAAAAAAGACTAAGAAACCTTAACAGTGGATAGGACACAGAAGCACAAATTGAACTTCCAGATCGATTCAGTTCAAGAACAATCAATGATGCCTCACAAAAGATCATTTGTCAACCTTCAGCCAAACACTAAACAAACTCCTCAGGCAATTCCTTGTTCAGGGTGGAGCACAGCACAACGTCCAGCTGCAGTAGTGAGAGGTACTGGTATACGGTTGCTATCACTGCCATCAAGCGATTCCCGTTTAAAAAGCAGGCACTTGACTGTACATGTGCATGTGCACGTGGGCGGTTATCTGGCTTTGAGTGTACCGAGAGCTCTAAGAGGAAATGACCTGACTTACTGACTCTTGATGTAGGCGGGAGATGTTCAGCTCTCTCATCTTCCTCATTTATGCGCTGCCATCGGTAGGAGATGGGTGCAGTGCCAGAGGCGGAACGGCACTGCAAGGACAGTTCCTTTCCTTCCAACAGCTCCCCTTCTAGCCAGCATTTGGGCTTGGAAGGTTTTTCTAGAAGAAACAGAAGACAGGTCATGCAAATACAGCAAACTATTTTCTCGGTGGAAAACCCTTTCTTTGGCAAAGTACGTCATTTAAGCAGCTTCCAAGAGCTGCCTTCTCTGGAATGCATTAAGGAATTACACACCAGTGATGTTTGTTAGGGGACTTTAGCTGCAACTGTGTGCAACTTCATAGTGTAAGAAGTGGAGCTGGCTGGCTCAGAGATAGAAATGACACATTATAATACTCTGGGGCAGTCTGCCCCATGGATACTTGCATCAGTGGAGCTGTATCGCTGCATTCCTCTTCTAGGTACTATTTAGAGAACGTCCTTTCCCTCCCTCTACTTCTCCATTTCTTCCTCCTCCCCACAGCATCTGGCAGGCCACAGCACTTCTTCCATGGGATGCTAGTGTACGTGAAAAAGCCAACCAATAAACTGAAATCAGGGAAGAGGAATGCTAACCCCAGCAGCTTATTTGTCACCTCCACTGACTTGGATCAGTTTGGGGTCCTGGGACACGAACCCAGAGTCCTCAGCAGGAGATCTGGACAGGGTGATTGCCAGCTAAGCTAGAATATCACTCTAGTTTGCGTGATGAGATCATAGAGATAATTTGGAAAGAACAGTTCATATGATTTTGCAGGTGATTATACTTACCTCAGAACAGTTCTTTAGGCTCTTCCTGTGTCCTGTCCTTTGCCAAAAAATGCAAAGGCAGATATGGACAGTGAAACCTGATCGTGAGATGTCTTTGTATTTATACCCCGCTGAAATAAATCTCTCTACAGGAAATGAGTCTAGCGATTTTTTCTCTTTGGAAGAACAATAAAATGATCTTACCTACAACCTTCAGGGTGATGCGAGCCCATTCGTACTGCCCAGCATTTTTAACCTTACATATGTACTTCCCCGCATCGCTGGACTGCAGGGATATGATCTGTAAGGATGCATCTCCAGCAAGGAAGTTGGATGTGAAGGAAACACGTCCTTTCTGTTCCTCATTCAGGTCATCATAAACACGGCCTCCAGAGTAAGTGATCACCTGAGGAGCAAAGACTGATCAGCCAGTTGTAATTTTACTTTCACACGGAACAACAAATCAAAGCATTTTCAGGAACTGCAGACTAAGGGTCTGCATGGTTAAGTGACTTGCCAAGGGTCACACAGGAAGCCTGTGGCAGGGTGGAAAATTAAACCTGGATTTCAAGTCTGAGACTGATACATAAACTGTATTTATGCTAGAGATTTATACTGCAGCATTTATACTAGTGTCAAAATAGACATCGGCTTATACCATAATATATATAAAAGCGGTCTTTAATTTTGGCTGGTTTTGGCTAGCTAATTTAAATTACTGCAGACCTGATTCTTATAAGTACTAAACAACTGTATTTTTTCCTGAAGCCAAGGTTTCAAAAACAGCCTACAAAATCCAAGGTCATTTCTGAATACCTGAAGGGCAATTCTGAAGTTTATCCAATGATGACCGATTACATAAGAGTACTAGTTTAAAGAAAACTCGATTGCAACACAACCTGTTCCAATACAGCGTGTGTGAATATCAAATAACTTTTATACATTATAAATCTCTCTAAATAAGTCAGCTGTGTTTTCTAAACACTGCTTACTTCATCAGAATAATTTGCAAAGATCATCACAGAAGTCTCTTTAAATCAATACCTGCTGCTGATGTCAACATAGAAATAAGACGATTTTCTCAGCAGATGGCTGAACCTACCGCTTTTTGTACTGTTTCGGAAATGTGCAGCAGCCACTCAATATCCAGGCTCCCTTGCTCCAGGAGGCCCAGGCGATGGTGACAGGGCAAAGTCACGTTTTCTTCAGCCACTCTCTTAAATTCAGTCTGAGCCTCGGACAGCCAAACAGAACAGGAAGCTGAAAGACAGATGCCAGTGGTCAGAAGCCAGGATTAAGGATGCATCTCTACACTGACAAGTGTTGCTAGCTTAGGTTTCACTGGATTCTTCCTCATTTGCTTCGCAGCATCAAAGAAAACCCAACAGCTTGGCTTCCTGGACAGATTGCAGCTGATTAAGAGGGACACCTATACATACATAGGCAGTTAGTTTCGCACTAATATTTAAGCATGAAGAACAGATGGCTTCATATTCCAGAGCTGTCAATACTAAAGTCGCACCCACATCTTCTATGCACTCAAAATTTCAGATAACCTCCTTGGGTTTGCCTTCACCTTTTATTACCTTAATTAATAAGCAGTACTTCCACCCAGAAGACCTTCAGAGCCCACCGCTTTATTCCCATATCAGTCTGACAAGGCTCGGAGTCTCTTCCCTAACACTGGATGATGTTCGTTGCGTGCATTTCAGCACTGGAAATAAGAGACCAGCCTGGAAACAAGAGGGTTAACCTTAAGAAAGGCATGGTACAAGTAAGCTAGTGAAGCATCTTTGAATAGCAACGTCAAAAAAAATCATAAGTTGTCAAAAACGGTTTGTCAGGATTTAAAAAAAAAAAAAGGGGGGGGGAAATTGCTAAGCTGAACCACTAGAGGGAAGCAGAGCCTTCTAAATGTTAGCCAGTAAAACCCAAACCGCATATTAACTCCCTAAAACCTGGAGCAGGAGACAGTGCGCTGCCGAAAAACATGATGTTCAACCAGCACCGCATTAGTCACTGCGTAACTCGCAATTTCCTTCCGAGTTTCCTTCTGTACTGCATCCCTACTAAAACTGAACGAAATCAGGGGTCGATTCTTGGCTTTGCCCATCTCCAACTTTTGGTAACACATGGACTCACCATGGTAAATTCAAACTCAATTAAAACTGACCCAAAAAATCAGAGGTATGGAAAAATTACGGGCATTTAGGTCAGGGACCCCCAGGTCTGCTATGACACCAAATAAAAAAATTTCCAACTAAGTTTCCATGGGGATTTCTGGGGCACAAACACCATCTGCCTTTTGTGTATGAATCTTCAGAGTGCAGTTGGGTTGTTCTTCAGTTTTGCTGTGCAAGAAGAAAGCCTAAAAGCATTTTTTTTCCCCTGTGAAATGATGTGAGATGAAATATCTTGCTTCTTGGACCAATTATTGTGAAACTGATGAAAACTCTGAGAGTTGGCAGCACTAGGAAGTCATATGTGTGATTGAACACACAATCCTGTGATTACATAGCAAGATTACTGGCAAGAGCATAAGCTCTAGTTACATAGGCTAAATTTGTTCCTATAGCTTGTATTTAAATAGTGGATCTTAAACCTTTTCTTTAGGTTAAAAAAACACAGGAAAAATTACATCCAACATGACACTTCCTCAGCTTTTTCTGTTTCTTCAGGACCAACTCTGGTTTTAGAAAATTCATTCTGTTCCTGCTCCCGTTCTCAGATCTGCCTCCGAGTTGTTAGCATGACCGTCTCTCAGCTCCTGAGCTTCTGATATTTAATCAATACTTGCCAAGCGCTTCTATGAAAGGTATCATCTACTATGTGCACGCACATATATAAAACACCTTGAATTTTAAGACAGGTGGAGTCTTTCAAAGGATTAAGCTCTCCTCCCCCTACGTGGATCTCTGCATGCATCGATGAGAGTGAAAGCTCCTTTTCAGCCACATTAGCTGCTTTCTTTAAAGGGAAAATTAATCCAGTTTATCACTGGATTCACTAGTCTCAAAGCTCTATCTGCCAAATACAATTATACATTCTGCCTAAGATGAACGCCTGCTTTCTCCTACAGCCCACATTGCTGCGGGCTGCCTTCATTAAAACGCTGACGCTCACTACATGACTGATCAATAAGTTTAATTTAAGCACCACAATAGTGAGCATTCACATAACATTTGCAGCATTTTCAAAGTCCTGTGCCAGCAGAGCACTGAGGTTTTGTGCACACCTCACAGGGTATTCTACATTTTAAAATGTAGTTTTACATTAAAAGCCTTGATCAGGATTTATAAATCACCTTTTGAAGGAGTACAACAAGCATCATTTTCATTCCTCTCCAGCTTGGACAGACTGTTTTTAGGAGAGCTCACACCTTGGTCTGTTCTTGTTGCCCCCAGCAAACATGCTCTCGATTTAAGAAAGAGCCCCGTGCCTATAAGCTCATCTCCTAAATGGGAATAAGATCAAGGTGACATCCAGTGAGAGTGACTGCAGATTTCTAAAGCACCCTTTGGTTTTTCAATCATGCAATCAGTTATTTGGAGCTGATTCACCATTAAACTGATAACCAGATTGTCACACACATTGCATACTTTTCCATGACGTGTCCATCTTATTTAAATAAATTTAAGATGTCCCCTTAGTCCTTATTAGTTCTTTAATAATACCCACGAACTCACAAGGGAGTCTGTAAGTTTTGCAGGTGTTCTAGACAAAAGCCTCACTTTATTTTCTTTCCAGTCATCATACCTGTACACAGTCAAAAGCAAGCTCAAAACACAGCTTCATAAAAGTACCCGACATAGGGTGCCAGTTATGGAAATTACCCATGCAAAATCCAAAGAGAGCTCAATGTGAACAAACCTTATGCCTTTCAATAGTTTGGGTAGGGTCTCACTGTAGCAAGCAGCAATGAAATGGAAATTTACCTTTAGATATGTGCTAGAATTTACGGTATGTGCCTCAGAAAGAAAAAGGAACTAGAGAACATATCCAAGCCCCCTCTAAGTGTTTTATTATTCAACAAAGAATAAACGTCCTCTGAAGTTCTCTCGTATTTGTGTAAATGAGATCTAGCAAGAACAGGACAAAGAAATGAGATTTTGCTCATAATGCTTTTACCATTTATTCCCCCCCTCCTCAGTTTAAGTTTCATTCCAATGAGTACTAAAGGAGAGTGCTTATGAACAACCCCTTACAGCAGCAAACACCTCCATGTACTGGCCAGGACATACATTGGCTAGTTTGCAAAAAGAGCTTTTGCTCTGCTGGATGGGTGCACAACCGGCTCCATACCTTTCCCCCTTAAAGAGCTCCGCAGCCACACGAGGGCAGAGCCTACTCAGAGTAACGCCTTAAGGGCTGGCTCCAGTAGACAATAGAATAAGACAACAGACGATTTTCCCAGAAGTCAGATCCAAGAGCCTCGCTCAGTAATGCCACATATATGCAGGCTCCGCAGTTCTTACCCCCCAAAAAAAAAAAACAACCCCTCTTCCCCTTCCACATCCTGTGTGCGGCTCTTTACACTGCAAAGAGCAATTTGGGAATTGCTTCTTTCAGCTTTACTCAGCCCATGTCCCATGACTTCAGAGAGAAGTTGGTTTGTTTTTCCCGCAGAGCAGGAACCCTAAGCTTATTGCAGCTGCAGCATTTTGAAAGCATTAGCCATGGGCCTGAAAAAAAAAAGTGTTGGGTGTAGCGCCAGGCTTGCTGACATCGCACAGGCAATGCAGTGTTCTGCATTGTAATGTTTAAATATTTGCTCTATTGTTCAGAAGAAAACAACTCACCCAACAGCCTGCAGACAAGGGAGAAAGATTGTCTTTCATCCTACATTGATGTTTTAAATATCCAAGGAATACAGAGCAACAAATATTTTGAACTAGACCAAAGCTGGCACACCTAAACAGACAGTACTCAAACAGCACAAGCACAGATTTACCAAGGGAAGGGCACAGATTGGGTCAGGGCATAGAAAGGGATTTCTAGCCCTCTCAATAACAGGCCATGCTGCCTTGCATGCATAGCAGATTTTAAAGAAAAAAAAAGTGTGGACAATATCCTGCATCTTTCTCATGCCAAGTATGTCCCAGAACTCTTTTAAACATTTTTAAAGGACTACTGACTTTGAATGTATCCCAGACATTACAAGGGGCTTTGAATTTCAGAAGTCTGCCCTTTGAAATGGACATAGGGAAGGAGCCATCTCCTGTGCAATGCAGCAAGTGCTGAGCAAATTGGGACCACGTATTTAGCTTCATCACAGATTATGACCACCCAAAGTGTTTTCACATCTGAATCCTTAATGTGATCACACATGCTTTCATATACATGCTATTATGAAGCTCAGTTTTGTTTTCACATCCATTTAATAACAAGTATATACACAAATGCACATATATACCAACAACATCAAATATGCATATCTCCAAGGCACATAAACATACAAGCAGAATCAAAGTGAAAAATACATCTTTTACTGACATTATTTGTAGGCAAATTCATGTGCTAAAAGCTAAAAAGCTTCCAGATTTAAATCTTTCATTAGGTTCAGAAGGTTTGAATTAGGGAGCAATGCTAAATATAGATTATACTTTTTAAAAAGTAATAAGTTGTGCTGTATCAACTTAACTGCTGGAATTAGGAGGAACAGCCTAGAAAAGATTCCGAGAATTGAGACACAAGAAATCCATAATGATGCTTTGTAAACTTGGCCCAAACCATACCTACACCAAGTTCATTTAACATGTGAATATCCAAAATGGGTCTTGAAAAATTTCAGTTATTCCAGGAACTTCTGTGAAGTTTATTCAGCTACACTTTTTATAATTTATTTTGGCTTTTTATCAAAGATGACATTTGCAACAGACTATTCCAAGACACTGATATCCAAGGAGGAGAAGAAATACAACCTGTAATTTTCCTGCAACTTGAGACATCCTGTACTAGCACCAGACAGAGGGAAGCGACTCAGGAAGCAACTCGAATCTGCTGCGGAAGAAAACTTTCTTCAATACAACAGCAAAAGCAGGAATTCCAATAGTATCTACACACACAGCTTATATCACAGGTGAAATGGAAATTGTGCTAAGTGCTCTGTCTGCTTTTGTTCATTAATATCAAAATGTTTCCTGGATGAAAGTGTGACAGGAACAGTGAATTGGCCACTGTTGTCAAGATATATCACATCCTTTCTGAAAAAAAGAACAGTCCCCTACAGACAAGTTCTCAAGTGTAACCAATAATTTTGT